TGGGCAATCCTACTTCCGTAGTGATACTGCCTCGGAAACCCAAGGAGGGGTCGCTATGAGTCAGGGCTGACTCGACGGCACATAACAACAACAACAACAGGGGCTGGGTAAAGCTAGAGGTGTCTCTTCACTCAGGCAGCTGCTGTCTGCTGAGGCTAACAAGCCCAAGGTCAACAAATAAAATGGCACAGTCCCAATATTACCAAACCACATGGCAGGCCATTGATTCAAGTCTATCAAGAGTCCCCAAGATCAGCAGGCAATGTAGCAGGCTGCTGAACAACAAGTCAGCTACATGCAGGATTCAAGCATGCCAAAAACTGGACACCTCACCTTCCTTAAAATTGCTTCTTATATACTTAAAGGAGCCCACATCCCTAAAGCAGCTACTTAGCTGCTCTGGTAGATTCCACCATGAAGGTAATTACCAATCTCACCATAAGGAATGACTATATCCAGCTGCCCAGCAACTCAAAACCAGGCCCAGCCAAGTTGACACATAACCGTAACTACCACACTTTCTAAACAGTGTTTTAAAACTTACGTTTTGTTATTGCTTGGGGTTTCTCTCTTTTTTAAATAAAACAAATGAGCAATAATTCATTGAAAATAATTCTTCCATTGCTCGCCTTTGAAGTTTTAAATGTTGTATTAAATTAAATTTAAAATGCTTTTATTATAAGGTGTAACATTAATTTACTCCACTAAGAAAGAGAAATAACTTGGAATTAAACTATGACACTTAAACTTCTTATCACTTCAGAATTTTATTTTGTTCTTAGTAGTACAGTTCTTTTAAGTATATTTAAGTATATAGATTCTCATAACTCATAAGGCATATGTCTTCTTTAGCAAACATAGAAAGGAATATATATGTATTTGAAATAAAATACTTACTATTTTTATAAAATTTCACCATTGCCACCTAGCCCACCCACAGCAATTATAAATTGTTTTTGATTATAAGATCTAAATTTCAAAGATGTAAAAATATAAAAAGATGTACATCATAGAATCAATGAAATATGGTACATTTAAATATCAAGTGTGAAAACTATATTTTTTGTAAGCCAGGTGGAAGTGAAGTATATGGGCATTACGTAATAACTTTTTTCTCTGTGAAATATTTAAGTAAATCATTCTCATTTCAAGAAATTAAAATATCTTCTTTGCATATGAAATTTCAAAGGAAGATGTTAATCGTTTCAATGGTAGAGGAGCCCAAGGCTAATAATTATTGCATGAAAATTGAATCACCAAAATCATATCAGTGAAGACGGCTTTTCATTCTTCTTTTTTTAAAGGCAAAAGCAACAACAATCAAAGAAGCCCTAGCCAGATGGGTAAGTATATGAGTTTTCACTTCTTTTAGAAACTATACAAAGCAAATCTTTGGAAAGTTTTTTTTTTTTTTTTTTTTTAACTTTTTATTGTGATTTAGGTGAAGTTTTACAAAGCAGATTGGTTTTACATTCAACAGATCATACACACATTTTGTTTTGTGATACTGGTTACATTCTCCATAGTGTGTTGTTGTTGTTGTTGTTATGTGCCATTGAGTTGGCCCCAACTCATAGTGACCCCTTCTTGGGTTTCCGAGGCAGTATCACTGCAGAAGTAGATTGCCCCATCTTTCTTCCGAGGAGTGGCTGGTGGGTTTGAACCGCCAGCCTTCTGGTTAGCAGTCAAGTGCCTTAGCCACTATGTTACCAGAGCTCCTTCTCCACAGTGTAAAGGAAAGTTATTTAAAGGCCTACTCAACATGAGGAATCTTTCTGATAATTGGAACTGTTCAGCGTCATGACTGTAGTGGTGGTTACACAAACCTATACAGGTAATAAAATTGTATAGAACTTAATACACACACATATATAAAGACACACACAAATGAGTAAAAGTGAAATTGGGAAAATCTGAGTAAGATTGGGGGAGTATATCATTATCATTGTCCTGATTGTGATACTATACTATAGTTTTACAAAATGTTACCAAAGTACACAAGGGATCTCACTGTATTATTTTTTAAACACATGTGAATCTTCAACTGTCTCAAAAACTTTTAACTGTTTGGTTAAAAATCAGTTTTAAAAAATCTGACCACTGGAAAATTTATGGAAAGGCTGACTCATCTGTTATTGTAAAATAGCTGGAATCTCTGTGTTATGGTATATTTTCCTTTTCAACTTTATCATCATTATCAGGTGATAAGAGTGGTATGTGTTGTGGATTGTCTGGGCTTTAGACAGAAGGTGGTTTTAGCCTCCTGGAAGTTAGAACAGAGGCAGCCACTGTGGACAAATGTAAATCATACATAAACCCACTATCATCAAGTTGATCTTGTCCCTGTGGGACAGAGTAGAACTGCCCCATAGGATTTCCAAGGTTGTAAGTCTTTATGGAAGGCAGACTGCTGTGTTTAACTCCTGGGGAATGACTGTAGGTTTGAACTACCAACCTTTCAGTTAGCAGCCAAGCACTTACAGACAGCTGAAAAACCATCAAATAAAAAATTTAAATAGTATAGTAATATTAGAAAGGAAACTACATTATAAAAAACATGCACAAAATATAAGCTATAAATTTGAATATTGTAACATTTATAATTTAAAGTTTACACAGCTGTAATCTAGCATTATGGATATAATTTCCATAAAATACAGAGATGGCTTCTCAGTTTTTATGTCCAGTGATAACTTATTTGTCTAAGTTATCAGTTGTATTACATACTAATGTACCTTTTGATTTTTTAGATAGTCTTTGAATAGTCTTTCAGGAACCTTACCATCTAGGGAAAATAGATAGAAGTGGATAGAGTAATGAAAAATTTGTTTTAGCGCTTATACATTTCTTGTTTACCCTAGTTGCATTTTTAAATTTTATTTCTGTTTGATTAAATATTCTGTTTGGTTAAGTTACAACAGAAAAATCTGTTTTATTAAAGAAAAAAGAATATAGAGTTGGCTCAGTATTAGATATGATTTTCCTTTAATTGTTTTGTAGGATGTTATTTATGAGTGTTGGTTTTAGTTTGTAGGTTTTATTTCTAGACTACATTATGAACATAAATATTTGACCTTAAGATTATTTAGAATTCAAAAAAATTGTATTTAAGTATCTTCAAAGGATTGAGAGACAGACCAAGGAAAACACAGAGAAAACCCTAGAGGAATTTTGGAAGAAAATACAAGAACAAAATGACAAAATCAATGAAAAATTATAAATGATTCTAAATCCACAGATAGAGATCCAGAAGATTAATACTAAATTGTCAGAAATAGATAACACATTGAAAGGGCAAAGGAGTAGAATTGACAATGGAAGACAGAATTAATGAGATTGAAGACAAATACTTGAATACTTCTTTGGAAAGGGATCAATCAGAAAAAGATCAAAACAAAATGAAGAAAGCCTAAGGATCATGTGGGATACCATCAAAAGGAATAACCTACATGTCATTGGAATTCCAGAACAGGAAGAGAAAAATGAAACCACT